CTCTGGGACTAGTCTTGTTGCAAACCTTTGCACTTTCTCTAATTTCTTGACGTGCTTGACTAGGTGTGGATTCCAAACTGGTGCTGAATACTCCAGTATGGGCCTGACGTAAATGGTATACAGAGTCTTAAACGAATCCTTACTGAGGTATCGGAACGCTATCCGTAGGTTTGCCAGGCGCCCGTATGCTGCAGCAGTTATCTGATTGATGTGCGCCTCAGGAGATATGCTCGGTGTTATACTCACCCCCAGATCTTTTTCCTTGAGTGAGGTTTGCAGTCTTTGGCCATCTAAACTATATTGTGTCTGCGGTCTTCTTTGCCCTTCCCCAATCTTCATGACTTTGCATTTGGCAGGGTTAAATTCAAGGAGCCAGTTGCTGGACCAGGCTTGTAGCCTGTCCAGGTCTCTTTGTAGTCCTGCCTGATCCTCATCCGATTTGATTCTTCTCATTAACTTTGCATCATCTGCAAACAAGGACACTTCTGAGTCTATCCCTTCCGTTAAGTCGTTCACATATACCAAGAACAGCACAGATCCTAGGACTGACCCCTGTGGAACCCCGCTTGTCACAGGCGCCCACTCTGACACCTCGTCGCGTACCATGACTCGTTGTTGCCTCCCTGTCAGATATTCTCTGATCCATTGCAGTGCCTTTCCTGTTATGTGTGCCTGATCCTCTAGCTTTTGCAGTAACCTCTTGTGAGGAACTGTGTCGAAGGCCTTCTTGCAGTCCAAAAATATGCAGTCGATCCACCCCTCTCTCTCTTGTCTTACTTCTGTCACCTTGTCATAAAACTCTAGTAGGTTTGTGACACAGGATTTTCCTTCCCTGAAACCGTGCTGGTTGTCAATTATACACTTGCTTCTTTCCAGGTGCTCCACCACTCTCCTCCTGATGATTTTCTCCATGACCTTGCATACTATACACGTTAGTGATACAGGTCTGTAGTTTAGTGCTCATGTCGTCCCCTTTTTAAAAATTGGGACTACATTTGCCATTTTCCATACCTCAGGGAGTTGCCCAGTTTCAAATGATGTGTTGAAGATCTTCGTTAATGGCTCACACAATATCTCTGCTCCCTCTTTAAGGACCCATAGAGAGATGTTGTCTGGTCCCACCGCCTTTGAGGTGTCAAGTTCGCATAGCAGCTTCTTCACCTCCTCCTTGGTTATATGTACCTCATCCAGCACTTGCTGGTGTGCCCCCCTGTTCTGATTTCCTGGAGTTCTACTGGTTTCCACTGTAAATACCTCTTTAAATCTTGTGTTGAGCTCCTGACATACCTCTCGGTCGTTACTTGTGAATTCCCCATCACCCTTCCTCAGTCTGATTACCTGGTCCTTGACTGTTGTTTTCCTCCTGATGTGGCTGTACAACAGCTTCGGGTCAGTCTTTACTTTTGATGCTATGTCATTTTCATATTGTCTCTGAGCCTCCCTTCTTATCTGTGCATATTCGTTTCTGGCTCTTCAGCTGATTTCTTTATTTTCCTGAGTTCTCTGTCTTCTGTACCTTTTCCATTCTCTAGTACACCTAGTTTTTGCCTCCCTACACCTTTGGGTGAACCAAGGACTCGTTCTGTTCTTCCCATTATTTCTCTTTCCCTTGGGAACAAACCTCTCCTCTGCCTCCTTGCATTTTGTTGCCACATAGTCCATCAATTCTTGTACTGGTTTTCCTGTCAGTTCCCTCTCCCACTGAATGTCTTGAAGGAAGTTCCTCATGCCTGAGTAGTTCCCCCTTTTGTAGTTTGGTTTTTCCCAGCCTATTCCTGCTACTCTCTCCACTTGGAGCTCAACTATGTAGTTTAAGCACAGAACCACATGATCACTAGCTCCCAGGGGCCTTTCATACATGATTCCCTCGATGTCCGAACTACTCAAGGTGAATACAAGGTCCAGCCTTGCTGGTTCATCCTCTCCTCTCTCTCTGGTAGTGTCTCTAACATGTTGATGCATGAGGTTTTCCAGTACCACATCCATCATCTTGGCTTTCCATGTTTCGGGACCCCCATGGGGCTCCAGGTTTTCCCCGTCAATCTCCTTGTGATTGAAATCACCCATAACTAGTAACTTTGCTCCCCCCATGTGTGCTCTCCTGGCCACCTCGGCTAGTGTGTCGATCATTGCTCTGTTGCTCTCATCGTATTCTTCTCTTGGCCTCCTGCAGTTCTGTGGTGGGTTGTACATTACTGCAATTATCACCTTATGTCCCTCAGATTGGATTGTTCCTACTAAGTAGTCCCTTTCGCCCGTGCCATCCATTCCTTCCATTTTCTCGAAACCCCACTGGTTTTTAATGAGCAGTGCAACTCCTCCTCCCCCTCTCCTCCCTCTGTCTTTCCTGAGGATTTGATATCCGGATGGAAAGATTAAATCTGTTATTATTCTGGTGAGTTTTGTTTCTGTGAGTGCTATTATGTCTGGGGATGTCTCCTTGATTCTTTCGTGCCACTCCTCGTACTTGTTTGTTATTCCATCTGCATTTGTATACCACACCTTCAACTTCTTTTCTAAGACTGTGGTCTGGGAGGTATATTGGGGTTGGGGAAGTGGGAGACCTGGTAAGGAACTATGGGTTGTTGCTGTGGGGGTGGAGTTTGTAATGTAGTGGGTGGGGGCATTGGATGTGGCATGGGTGTTTTGATTTAGAGTGTTTGGTTGCACTGGGGTTGACCTGGTTGGGAGGCTTCTATAGGAAGTTGTGAGGGAGGCTGTATTTGATCTTCTTCCTGGGTCTGGGATCTCCTGTCTGTCTTCTCCACCCCCTCTCTTTCCTCCTTTCGCCTTTGTACCATCTCTCTCAGTTTCTGCCTTTCTTCTTGTGTTCTATCGCAGTCGAGATACACCTTCCTGTATGCCGGCATGTCCCTTAATCGTGCTTTCTCCTGCAGGATCCTGGTCCGAGTCGCTTCTGCCTTGAAGGTCACTTTCACTGGCCGGGTTCTTTTTTTTACAAACCCCCCTATTCTCCGAAAATTTTCCAGCTGGGTCATGTCGTCTTCTCCTATTGCTTTCATGATGCTTTCAATTGCTTTTTTTTCCCCTTGTTTTCTTGCTTATGTTTCCCCTTCAACTTCCTGGAGCCCATACACAAAGACTGACCTCACCCTTTCATTCTCCCACTGCATATCCCTGTGTATCTCCTCATTTAATTTGGTTTCCTCCACTGCAGGTTTCCTTTCTTCAGTTTCACTGGCTAATGTACTTGGGCTCAGTGGCCTGTCATTTTCCCTTCTCGGCTTTCCTTGGGCTCTGTTGTTGTCTGTTAGGGCCTCCACATAAAGCTTAGCTCTTTCATTTACTACAGTCTCCTCTGATAGAGCTTCTCCATGCAGTTGTGCCCCTTCTTTCCCTACAGTCCCCTTATTTGTGGCTGAGGTAGCAGTCTCTGTTGTCAATCCCAAAATGTTCTTTAGTTCTTTAGGCTGTTTCAGATTTTTCAGTTCCTCTTCTAAACTTTGTATCCTAGCCTCTGCTGCTTTGACATGCACCTCCCACTTCCTGCTTTCCATATCTATCCTCTCTTCCATTCTCATGCTAAGTTCTTCTAGTTTCTTTTCCCATTCATGATCCCTTTTTATGAGCTCTGCTGCCCAATCTTCCTTTGCAGCTTCCTCCTCCTGTCCCTTGGTTTTTCTTGTTGCTCTCTGGCAACCCATTTTTGTTTTATCCTGATTGCCTCAGAGTGGGAAACCTATGTAGTTCTGTATGTTAGGTTAGTAGTGTGTATGTCAGAGTGTGGGGGGGAGGTAGTGGAAGAACTGTGGCTATGTGGGAGAGGAGTGGGGAGGGGTGGGGAGGGGGAGGGTGAACGGGGGAGGGGAGGGTGAACGAGGGAGGGGAGGGATCAGGGGAAGTAGTGAGATGTCGGTGGTGAGGGGGGGGAGTGTATGTGTGAGTCTGGATATGTGTGTGTGTGTGTGTGTGTGTGTGTGTGTGTGTGTGTGTATGTGTGTGTATGTGTGTAATTTTGTGTGTAATTATGTGTGGGTTTATTATGTACTGAAAGGTAGGTGGCTTGTGCGTTGTAATGTAGAGTCTCAGTGGTCCTTGGCTGCCCACAACTTCTTGTGACCTGACCCCCAACCTCCTGGGACTTGACCGGCACGTACTTACAGTGTGTGTGTGTGTGTGTGTGTGTGTGTGTGTGTGTGTGTGTGTGTGTGTGTGTGTGTGTGTGTGTGTGAAGTCATTGTTGATGTCTGGAGAAGTGTTATCAGTGTCACTACGCGAGAGGTGAGTGCCATCAGGGAATTAGAAAGGCAGTAAATAATTCTAAAGGGATGAGTACCAGGATGAGTGCCAGGATGAAGAGTGACAGGATGAGTGCCAGGATGAAGAGTGACAGGATGAGTGCCAGGATGAAGAGTGCTAGGATGAGTGCGAGGATGAAGAGTGACATGATAAGTGCCAGGATGAAGAGTGACAGGATGAGTGCCAGGATGAAGAGTGACAGGATGAGTGCCAGGATGAAGAGTGACAGGATAAGTGCCAGGATGAAGAGTGACAGGATGATTGCCAGGATGAAGAGTGACAGAATAAGTACCAGGATGAAGAGTGACAGGATGAGTGCCAGGATGAAGAGTGACAGGGTTGGCACTGCACACACACACACAACAGGCAAACTTAAACCTACAGAAGACATATACTTCAATAGACATACACAAAACTATAGTCCTGTACCAAAAGCTAAAACTATACATCTAAAAAAAAAAATGTATATAGAAAGCTATAAATTCCACAGACAATGGCAGAGCATGTAATTGTATAGATACGTGACACGTGTGTACTCTCTCTTGTACTCTCTCTTTCACTCTCTCTCTCTCTCTCTCTCTCTCTCTCTCTCTCTCTCTCTCTCCTCTCTCTCTCTCTCTCTCTCGCTCTCTCTCTCTCTCTCTCTCGCTCTCTCTCTCTTCATTATATTTAAGTTATACAGCATTAACCCTCATTATTTTAATAAAGGAAATAATTGAAGTCTGTGTCTCTGCTTACAGCATCAGCAGGATCAGCAGGTGGAGAGGTATGCTGAGAATGCCTCGCAAGCCCAGACTACCTGCTGCGGCCGTCTACCTGCTGCTGCTGAGCCTAGGCCTCCTGCTCTACGTGTCAGTCAGGGGGTCCCAGGAGGAGCTGGGGGTGGCTGGGCCCAGCAGGCAGCAGCAGCAGCAAGCAGGGGTGGAAAAACAGCATCAGGCTGGTGCTGCTGATGCTGTCAGGACTCGAAATATCAAATGGAAGAAGCGAGGCCGGACTAAGGAACAGCTGACTAATCCACATGACTTCCATCTCATGATCAATAATGTCAACACTTGCAACAGTGACACCACTGTAAGTTGCAACCTTTTTATTCTTAGACAAATGGTATGCAATACCGACAAGATGAAAATAAGACATGTGCAACATCTGGGTATCTTTATTGTAGACGTTTCGCCATCCAGTGGCTTTATCAATATAAATTCCAGGACATAATTTGAAGACAGTAGAAATGTATATACAAAAGATGAAGTACGATATTTTTTTTCGTAGTTTACCCAGTTAAGTGATTACTTATTCATATTTAAGTAGCACTGTTAAACACCAGCAACGCTGTTGAAAGTGGAGTGCTGTTGGAGTGCGTGTGTTTACGAGTCGAGCAGCAGTGTGTGTGTGTGTGTGTGTGTGTGTGTGTGTGTGTGTAAGTGGAGGTATACATACCGCAACATATGTCATGAAGTGCAGTGTTACAGGCACATGTTTACGTTGCGTGTGTTGCAGGTGTGGTTGCTGGTGTTGGTGAGCTCAGGTGTGGCCAACTTCCATCGTCGGCGGGCCATCAGGGACACCTGGGGCGGGGCCACACCTCTGGCCTCCTCCCACGCTAAGTTGGTCTTCCTCCTGGGCAACCCCCACAACACAGACCTCCAGACACAGGTGAGTCTAACCTCCACAACACAGACCTCCAGACACAGGTGAGTTTAACCCACACAACACAGACCTCCAGACACAGGTGAGTTTAACCCCCACAACACAGACCTCCAGACAAAGGTGAGTCTGACCTCCACAACACAGACCTCCAGACACAGGTGAGTCTAACCTCCACAACACAGACCTCCAGACACAGGTGAATTTAACCCACACAACACAGACCTCCAGATACAGGTGAATTTAACCCCCACAACACAGACCTCCAGATACAGGCGAGTTCAACCCCCACAACACAGACCTTCAGACACAGGTGAGTTCAACCCCAGCAACACACGCCTTCAGGTGAAAGGGTTCCTAACACTTGTGTTTCCTCACCTAGCAGTTAGTAGGTACCTGGGTGTCAGTCTACTGTTGTGGGTCGCATTCCAGGGGATACTACCATACCTTATATAGGGATGGGCTTTGGGATGAGATGGGGTAAGATAACAACTGAGGTAGGATGGGAGTTTAGGTAAGATAACAGCTGAGGTTGGGTGAGAACTTAGATAACAGCTAAACATGTAAATATAACTGCACAACAACCTACTCTAATTTCAAGTGAAAAAAAATGATTATAAATGTTTCTACGCTGGCAAATTTCACCTTTTGAGAAACCTACTGGCATCGCTAGGCTACAATAACACCACAAATAACTGGAAGACTCATCTCCAGGTGGTGGAGGAGTCTAGAACGTACGGGGACATCATCCAGGAGGACTTCACGGACTCCTATATGAACCTGACTCTCAAGTCTGTTATGGGACTCAAGTGGGCGTCGAGGTACTGTCAGCGGGCCAGCTTCGTCATGAAGACGGATGATGACATATTCATCAACATGCCCAAACTCATCACCTACCTGCAGGAGGCTCGTAGGTCCAGGTGGATCACAGGTGAGTCAAGGTCACCTGAGGAGTGTGTTCTCACACCGGACTGTTAGTGGTTAGTGGTGTTGTGCTCGTCAGGAAACATGACAAGTATCTCGTAGCTCTACTGCTAGCACACTCAGCTCACACACTGAGGTCCGTGGCTCGATCCCCGGTACGGATGGAAACATTAGAACGTGTTTCCTGCTGCTGTCCATGTTCACCTAGCAGTAAAAGAGGTACCTGGGTGTTAGTTGACTGGTGTGAGTCGCATCCTGGGACAAAATTGACCTAATTTGCCCGAAATGCTCAGCATAACAAGGGACTTTCTATATAGTAGTATGTCATTGTTGTCAGTTATGGTCTGTATACCTTGTATATGTACTTATAAAGATTATTATTATTATTGTTGTCTCCTGACACAGGTCTTCTTCAGATAACAAAAGAGCCTTTAGATTCACTCTCCTTCAAGAGAAGAGTTCAATTATATTATATAATTCTTTATAGGCTCATTTATAATATCGCATCAAAATTTACTCAAGAACTTACTAAAATCTATGTATTGTAAAATACCTAAATTTCATTAGTTCATCTAAGAATTTGCATAGCTAATTTAATGTTGTAGCGAATCTTAGAACGCCGCCTCAACTCAATGACAAGAGTAATAATTTGAATAGCAGGAGGGCCCCGCTTATACAGCAGGTTAGGTTCCGGGTTACTGCTGTAAAGTGAAACATGACCTTTTTTTTCGCTTTCAAATGCACATAAAAGCTTGATAACATATCTACACTATCATATATTAAGCAAGTGATAAAGCTAGGCCTAAAAAAACGCATATACAGTACAAACATTACTTACCTTAAAATATTTTTGTCTTTAGCTTATAGTGAATGGCGAATAAATTTATTGTAGGAAGTCTGAATAAATGAAGAATGGGTATAATTAAAAACCAGTGTATTAGCGAAATGCCGTAAAGCGAAACGCCGTAAAGCGAAGCGCTGTAAAGCGGGGCCCTCCCGTATTAAACTGTGGTTCATTGTGATACAGTTGTGAAAAGCTCGTAGTTTGAAGTGAGTTATGTGACATCATTGTTAAAAGTAATATTACTGTCGTGTGATGTAAATAAAATGAATGTGTGTGTGTGTGTGTTGACAGGTTGTATCAAGCAGAAGAAATCATTCCGACCAGTGAACGTTCCTGCAGGACTCCCACTGCCTCCCGTACACCCTCTCTTCGTAGCTGGAGCTGGTATGTCCTCTCTCTCTCTCCCTCTCTCTCTCTCTCCCTCTCTCTCTCTCTCTCTCTCTCTCTCTCTCTCTCTCTCTCTCTCTCTCTCTCTCTCTCTCTCTTTCTCCTCGTAATTTAAATACCACGTCTGACTTGCCCATTTCAGTCATGAGACTGGTAAGTTCTTTACTTTTTTTTTTCTTATTCGCCGGTATTCTCCCGGCCCGGGTCTTTTCCAAGTAGTGGTGACCCGGCCTTGACTCCCTATCTGGGGAGTATCCCGAGACCTATGTCTCCCATGGGAGGAGGTACAACTACCCCCTCATCTTTGGGACCAACTGTCCCCAGGCCTAGCCACATCCCCCGCCGATTGCAAATCCGTGTGTTAAGTAACCTGTCAACTTCCATCTTGCAAACCATGGAACGGGTGGAATTTGAACCCATGGCTAGTGTGTCCTAAAACTCTCAGTCGTCATTACGACTTCGTTTTGCAAGTCTGAATACAGTCAACATGGATGACGACTCTCCCTGATCTTGCAGTACGACCTGCAGTGTCTCACTATACTTCCTATACAACATGATCACTAAAACTGCTCTCACTAATGTGGGTGTGGAGTATGAACTAGCAACTAGTATGATGCACTAGCAACTAGTATGATGCACTAGCAACTAGTATGATGCACTAGCAACTAGTATGATACACCAGCAACTAGTATGATGCACTAGCAACGAGTATGATGAACTAGCAACTAGTATGATGCACTAGCAACTAGTATGATACACCAGCAACTAGTATGATGCACTAGCAACGAGTATGATGAACTAGCAACTAGTATGATGCACTAGCAACTAGTATGATGCACTAGCAACTAGTATGATACACCAGCAACTAGTATGATGCACTAGCAACGAGTATGATGAACTAGCAACTAGTATGATGCACTAGCAACTAGTATGATGCACTAGCAAATAGTATGATACACCAGCAACTAGTATGATGAACTAGCAACTAGTATGATGCACTAGCAACTAGTACGATGCACTAGCAACTAGTATGATACACCAGCAACTAGTATGATGCACTAGCCACGAGTATAATGCACTAGCAACGAGTATGATGAACTAGCAACTAGTATGATGCACTAGCAACTAGTACGATGCACTAGCAACTAGTATGATACACCAGCAACTAGTATGATGCACTAGCAACGAGTATAATGCACTAGTAACTAGTATGATGCACTAACAACGAGTATGATGCACCAGCAACGAGTATGATGCACTAGCAACTAGTATGATGAACTAACAACGAGTATGATCTAGCAACGAGTATGATGACCCAGCAACGAGTATGATGAACTAACGAGTATGATGACCTAGCAACGAGTATGATGAACTAACAACGAGTATGATGACTTTGCAGCGAGTATGATGAAGTAACAACCAGTAAGATGAACTAACAACAAGTATAATGACCTAGCACCGAGTGTGATGAGTTACCAACGAGTAAGATGAACTACCAACGAGTATGATGAACTAACAACGAATATAATGACCTAGCAACAAGTACAGTAGTTTGCAGAGTAATTGAAACAGGAGTAAATCTGGTCATTATCCCACAATGTGTGTCAGTCACCGTCTTAATTAATGTAGTTTGGATACTTTTCTCAGCAGAGTTTCAGTCACTGGCCTCGGAGACCCAACTTAGACTTTCTTTTAACTTGTTCTAAATCTGTGTTGCTCATACGGGTATTTTTTTTTTATTTTGTGATGATATACTTTGAATGTGACAGTGGTATATAATACCGACAGGTTGATAAGTACAACAGTTAGGTGTCTTTATTCCGTAACGTTTCGCCTACACAATAAGCTTCTTCGGTTAACTCTTCTGTATTCGACTGACGAAGCATGCTGTGTAGGAGAAACGTTTCGGAATTAAAGATACCTAACTGTTGAACATGTGTCTTATCAAGACACACGCTGTAGAGCAAGCTTGTATGGCGATGTTTCGCTCTGTATCGTGACGTTTCGTGCTGCCACGATGTTTCCTTCAGCACTGTTGAAGCAAGATATTTGTAACCAGTGTTTTCTTTTCACTTTTTAATTTCTCTTTATCGTATGTCTCCCTTGACACTAAGTGCAGATGTCTTTTCAGGTTATGTGATGTCTGGAGATATCGTGAGAGAGCTGTACACAGCCTCCCTCAACACCCGCATCATACCTGTGGAGGATGTTTACGTCACAGCTCACCTGGCCCGGGTGATCGGTGTTCACCCGCCCGTGCACGATACCCGCTTCACCTGTGGCGAGATGGTCAACGACGATTGTGACCTGGTGCAGGTCAGTAGTATCTTAGGTCATCTAAGGTCACAGACGACTGTTTTTCAGCATTCAGTGACCTTGTAGATCTGTGGCCGGGTTTTCCCGTTCTTTGAATGCTGATTTTGGTGTAATATCTAGCCAGACTCATCTGGGAATTAATTCTGGAGAGCCTTGATAATTCCTGTAATACAACAGTCATCAGCCTTAATTCATCTTTTTGTTCATTCGAAGGTAATCACAAGTCTCTTAGTCCCTAATACACGAGGAAAACAAACACTGCCTACTGGCCTATACTACATAGGTCCGAATCCCATTTATACCTTCCGAATTAATTACCTTAATGGCATTTAATACCAACGAGATGAATAATTAGGCACATGTGCAACATCTGAGTATCTTTATTTGTATTGACAAAGCCATTCAGTGGCTTTATCAGTACAAATTCAAGGACATAATTGGAAGACAGTACAGCTGTTTACAGAAGATGAGGTAATCAGTCCCTCAGTCTTGGAGTTGGTGAAGAGTACCGTAAAGTCGCTTCATCGAGCAGTGGGTTCATCAGTGCAATACAATTAATTGCTGGAGACAGTGGATACAAAAATGTTGCAAATGTCTTGTTCATCTGTTGTGTCAGTTTTGTATGCCATTAATAACTAGGCTGATCTTCATTAAATCCCATACAAACTTAGTTCTTTCCTACATCCTTTCTAAACCTGAATTTATCCGACTTGAATCCATTGTTCCGAGTTCTTTCTGGGTGATTTTAAACTGGCGCTACGTCTTTGCAGGTGTTCACGGGTCACAAGATCACTCCGGAGAGAATGTACCATATATGGGAGAAGCTCAACCCCAATGGGATAACCAGCCCTTGCTTTGACTTCTGAGAACGTCGATGCTGCAACATTCCTTCAACAATTTGCTCTCAACTGTGCAGGTCTTAACGAACTACCAAGCACAGTGATACTACATAATACTCCGACAATTCTCGGTACTGTCATTGGTGTGGTAGACCAGAAGTAAACAACTCAAGACTAGAGGTTAATATCCAAATAATCCTTACATATACGATGAAGAGCTTTTGGTCATATGATGTAGGCCTTCCGCTGGCTGACCGGTCTACGCCTTGAAGATTATTAGGACGCATATACAACACTTGGGTATCTTTACTGCGGAGACGTTTCACCAGTCATTGGCTTTATCAGTCCAATACGGAGAATAATACTGGAGATGGAAGGTGTGAATCAGAAGCTGGAGGTGATCAGTCCCTCAGCCTGGAAATAATGTGTTTAGTTCGCCAGTTTTGATGCACTGAACGCTGACTTCGACAGTCGAATTCAGCGCAGGGGCCGAGAAGGGACGTAAAAGCCAAACACAGACGCAGGAACCAAGTGGCAACAATGACGTCCCGCTACAGACCACAAGATCAGTACAAATCTTCTAGCAAAAGACCAAGTTTAAAAAAATTCTTGTGTGTGTAAGACACGAAGGAGCAGGACGGTTGTGTTCATGTTGATGACCTGTCTGTAAAACACTCGTGAAATACGAAGATCACTGCGATCTTCAGTGACCTTATGAAGGTCACTGTGACCTTCAGTGCAGTGTAAAGCATGAATCTAATATTGATATCATTTGTGTGTGAGCTGACCGAGTTGTGCCTTGATGTGGCCGAGCTACAGCTCCCGGCCCCGCTTCTCACCAGTATTGTGTCTTATTGTTCTTTACCCTAACCTTGTTTTATGTGAGAGTTTCGAGGGACAACAGAGAATAGAATAACATTCTGATTCTACGAGAGATGTTACCAGTGATCATGTAAAGGATCACACTCCACAAGAGATGTTACCAGTGATCATGTAAGGGATCACACTCCACAAGAGATGTTACCAGTGATCATGTAAAGGATCACACTCCACAAGAGATGTTACCAGTGATCATGTAAAGGATCACACTCCACAAGAGATGTTACCAGTGATCATGTAAAGGATCGGACTCCACAAGAGATGTTACCAGTGATCATATAAAGGATCAGACTCCACAAGAGATGTTACCAGTGATCATATAAAGGATCAGACTCCACAAGAGATGTTACCAGTGATCATGTAAAGGATCGAACTCCACAAGAGATATCACCTACAGTCATACA